CCGGAAACCACTATACCTTAACGATCTATTTGGAAATTAAACAAAAAAGGAAGTTTAATAGAAAAGTAAATTGAATAAAAATAGAAGTTGAATAAAAATAAGAATGAAAGTTGCATAAAATTAAAAAGGAGTTTTCTTAAGTGTGCAAGTGCACATCATGTGCCACTTACACAAAAAGTGTAAGTGTAAGGTGTAAGTATAAGTATAAAGTGTAAGTGTAAGGTGTAAGTGTAAGGTGTAAGGTGTAAGTGGGTTGCACATGGTGTGCAACCTCAAAAAAGGTGTAAGTGTAAGGTTTAATTTTTTACAAAAGGTGTAAGTGTAAGGTGTAAGTGTAAGGTATAAGGTGTAAGGTGTAAGTTGCACACTATAACCAAACCCCTTTACTATTAATCTTTTTATTATTAATCTCTATTATTTTATCTGTGAAAATAAACGGGCGTGAAAAGGTGTAGTTCAGCCCATTGGAGGTCCATCGAGACGACACATGCATTGTCGTGCTGTTGACGTGGCAGTGCAACTTGCTTTTGAATGCAGTTGTTAATACATGGATTGTTGTGTTGCACATACCACGACAATCTGTGTGGTTGAAACAGGATAAATATTACTTATAATGGTAATATTATGTAGCGATATTATTATTTATTAAATAATTTTAATTTAGGATAAAAATTATAATCAACTAGTTTGGATAAATTATAATTAACTTGTTTGGTTTTGATTTTTAAAAAATATTTTTTAGAAAATTTTACTTTTTTATTTTTCCTTTTATTTATTTATTATTTTTGTTTTCAATGAACTTTTTTAATATTTTAAGTATTTTTTTTTAGACACACTTAACATAAATATACTTAAAAAGTATAATATTTATGAAAAAAATCTTTAAAAAATGTGTCCAAAGCCTCTTTTTTTACCGTCTCACATGCCTATTTTTTGCAATAATTTTTAAACTATCGCAAAAAATTACGTATCTAAAGCCCCTTTTCTAATAGTGTCTTTAGAGTTTTTGAGTTTAATGTTCCAGCATAAAAGGAAAATGAAGTTCCTACTCTCTCTCCTCATGTACATATAAACCTTGAAAGTTTTGAAATCATTCTTAAATTTTTTAGAACTCTCTCCAAACATATCAACGTGTTAATTAGTTGAATAGCATCAAATTAGCATTTTAATTACATATTAGTTTAATTAATACCACTTAATCTTAACTAATTATAATTAACATTTGAATGACATACAATTTAATTAATCATAACTAATTACACATTTCACATTATTTAATTAGCCGAATAAATCTTTAGTTACGGCTCAATTAATTATATTTAATTTTTCTCAATCTGAATCAGATTTTTAATTAAACTCCCAAAAGCTCCAAATATCAAATTAAACTTATTTTCATCCTCAATTTTTGTTTCTCACATAATTAAGGTCTTCAATTTTATATCAAACTCAAAATCTCCGCCAATAAATTACATATTCAATTGAACATCTCATAAATAAATTTAATTCATGATATTCTTAATTCTCAATCCTCATAACTTAGTTTGCGGACCCAATCGATCAAATATTAATTTTACTAAACTAAATCAAATATTTATTTAAACTCCCATATGATCTAATACTCG